GGAAAGAAGAAAAATTAATAGATTAAATAATAGTTTTTAATAGTTTTTAAACAAAAAATGGTGTGCATTTTCTATTTCAAAAAAACTCAGTGTTGAAAGTAAAAGGAAGCAAGCAGTGGTCTTTTGTGAAACAAAAGTCCTATCCTGATCTTATTTAATGTTCTCCACAATAACACCAAATATTGCGCTAAAGACAGCATGGTGCTTCGCTTGATTTCTATCGAAGACAGCTCGATGATATCTTAGAGGAATAGAATAACTGACACCTCYACAACTTAGGAGCATAATAATGACGACTTTTACGCTTACTAAGCTCGAAGTGACATACCACTTTATGGGACTCCAAACTTGACTTTTAATCCAGACAAGCTGTCATTCAAGTAAATCACTAAACTATGTAAAACGAAAGTTAGGTTAAGTTAATAAAGTATGCCCATAAGCCTTGCATAAACCAGTTATGGTCCTTTAGTAAATTTTAATATGCGTCACCTTCTTTATGTGCTCACTCTCAATACGAAAGGAAGGAGAAGTACGAAGATCGGCTTCGACAAACCTGTTATAACCACACTATCTAAGTTTCAGCGGAATCAATCCCTGACTCCCTCAACAAACAGGTAAACTTGGCATTAATGGAATATGGAATGACATAAGAACTCTAGTATGAGTGGTAACAGGTTATAAGCAGATATGCCAGCAGACTAAGAACAGCATATAACGACTATTGTAGAAGCTGTCTGGAGTTAGAAGAAGGGGATACCATAAAACATCAATGCGAATGTAAGACTTTGTAGCTTTGTATAGGAAAAGAATCGAAACTATCAGTCGAGGATTTCTTGACGAAGGCTAATAGTTGGCGCGGATAAAAGTTTTCATACTGATGAACTTTAACAGATGCACGGTGTTATTTATAGAATAGCCAATAGAGTGAGGGGTTTTAGTTCCATCGTATCACAATTGGCCTCTAAAGGCCCAGGTGGCCTGATACACAGTCATTCTACCTACCTACCTACGAAGAAGATGATGCAAAAATTTTTACTCAATTTAACAGAATCTACTCTTATTCGATATACACGACAGCAATGCCCCAAAACTTTTTTGTGCTCTTCGGTTATTTAGACGAATTGAAATCAGCGAATCTCTGTCCGCATTAGTGATCTTGGTACCTACACTATAGGACTGAATTTCGTAAGCAACGTTCTCCTACAACAACGAGTGATTTCAGAAAACTGTAATGATAGTTAGAACAACATCTGAACTAATCAACGACGCGTGAGCTAATTTGGAGGAAGCCAAACTAAGGTCTTGTAACTCTCAGTGGGCTGGGTCGGTTCAGTTCTTGCGCATTGCAAACCACCTGACACCAGTTTGTGGAAGTCTGGCAGAGACATTCAAAGTGTTCAGCCATTTGTAAGAAAGAAATCTAGTAAAGCTACAGCAACAACAACAGAGGCATTAGCAAAAGAAGTTTTCTTAGCCCCTGATTCTTAAGTTTAAGGTAAAGCAGCGTAAGCAAACCTTTCGGAAGTCATAGGAAATGAGTCGCACTAGGTTCCTTTTTTGCATTTTTCGTAAAATAGTTCAAAGTAATTTCCTTTTAAGCACTATAATTATGGTACTCCTACCTATGCGAAAAATTTACTCAGTTTCTATTTTCACAATRTCCGTGGTAGGGATATCCCTCAACCTCCCCTCGGTATGTATGTAARATCAACGTTACCAGGAAAGTGTTAATTTCGTGTCTGAGAATTTGAAATATGGAATACTCCTTAAAAAGAATTATGGCAAGCTGCCCATTTCACTTCGTACACATTCCAACAAACAGAAATGTATACCACACTTCAGAATTGGTTGTCAAGGCAACCACTTATGGTCAAAACAAACGTTAGCAGCGCCTTTGCGGTTCCCAGTGGTGCTACAATGAGAAATCACAGTCACTCGACTGCAATTGTCTATCCAAAAGCAAGTAAATTTTTCACGCTCTTAAAATGGCTACAGAGGATTCTTGGGTTTTGGATTCAYTGGTGTGCTTCTTGCACGGGCCCGTCTGGAATGCACCTTTGCAGACTTTCATAGAGGAAAAATCGTTAGGTAAATGAATTGAGGGTTAATTGATGCCTTTTTTCGAAATCGTTTCTTTCAACAAATGTTTCTTTGGCTGAAGTCTTCGATCCCAATATGCATATCAATGAGGACAGTCCCGATATCGTGGCGATTCATAATGAGTATAAAAATCTGGTGGACTATATGCTGGGCAGTTTCATGGAGGAAATGCAAATCACGCCGGAACAATTTGAGACGGCCTGCATGGAGGGTAGAAACCCGGACAATCATTTGCACTTTCACCAGGGACTCTTTCAGCAGGTGGGTATACAAATATTAAATACCAAGATCAATATACAGAACTTTATTGCGCTGCTTAAACATTTAGATTTGGGCGGCGAATGATATCAAAATGTTTATACGCATGATGACCCAACGGAATGTAGAGTTGCAACTGCAAGCCTTGGATTTGATAGAGAAAAATCAATTGGCACTACTGCAGGAAAGCGAAGCGATTGACAATGCCAGTCCCACTGAAAGTAGCAGTTCAAATTTGTATGTGTTATACGAAAGCAAAATAACCTCAATTTTATTTTTTAAGCACCAATATTTTCAAAATTACAGCGAGAAATATGACGAAGTCGAAGATTTTATAGCCAAATCGGTGGAGAAAGAACTCGGTAGTCCTGATGCGGCTGTAACCCCTGAGCCAGAGAATGCTGAGGCAAGCGTGAGCGATAAGTTTGAGCGCCTCAATTTGTTCTTCGATAATCAAAAGGTTGTGACCTCAAATAAAGTTTGTAAATATTGGATTCATTATCATATTTTACGCTTCACATAGGTCAACCCCGAGGATGTTGTGTCGCGTCAAGAGTATTTGCGTCAGCAGCGTGATAAAATTGTTGAGATTAAAAAGAAGACACGCGCCAAACAACTGCTAGAAACGGTGGCACGTAAAAGTGCTTCAGAGCCCTCCTCCATTGGACGGCCGTCATCGGCGCAAGTGGCGCAAAGATTGCTGGAAAACGGTGGCAAAACCACTGAGCTACTGGATAAAGCGTCTGCTGAAGAAAATTCCGATGAGTCGCTAAACTCGGCTCTGCAGTTGCGTAAGACGCTGGCCAAACGCTTGCGTGCCGAGGTGGTGGAACCACAGTAGATACAGAATTGAAAAATGAGGATGAGATATATGCGATGTAGAAGCGCCCTTGTATTTTTTCACATTTTAGTGCAATATACATACATTATTCTAAAAATGGCATAAATCAAAATAAGTAATATAAATATATATGAATTTCGGTCAAATATAGAATAGTATTTTGAAATATATTTTTTTGGATGTAAGGTTAAAAATAATAAGGCTATCTCCGAAAAAGTGAGGAAGGTTTAAGTTCGGACGGAGCCGACTAAGGCACSAAGAGTATTTATACAGATGGGTCCGAGTGGAAAAACAATGGGGAGGTGGTCCATTTTCAGAAGATACCATATCAGATTTCCGAATACCAGATCACTACAGGATCTTCCAAGCGGAGATCATAGCATTTAAAGAAARCCTTCTTAGTCTGACTAAGAGAGTGCTTACAACAGGGAACATATTTCTAATATATTCACAGATAGCCAAGTGGCTTTGAAATKACTAAAGTCACTCAGCGTGTAATCAAAAATAGCGAACTAATGTGATCTTTTAGTGGAACAAATAAGATTTCACGATAAACCTGCAATGGGTTTTAAAATATAGTGATATTCTAGCTAACTATGAAGCACATGAGTAATACTTATGCCATTTAATTATAGATATACTGACTAGTTCAACAAGCAGACAAATTTGGATGCAAAAGGAATAACATGAACTCTAGTATGTGTGCTAACAGGAAGACAAGCCAGGAGACGGACTCTACCTTATAACGATTATCTATCGGTGGTGTTTTTTTTAACGATTTATCGTAAGTTTTATTTTTAAAAATTTTCGAAATGATGAACTTCATTAGAAGCACTCCTCTATCAAAAAAAGGGAAGAATGAGCAAATTTAAAGTGAAAACGATGCTCATTGCTTTTTTTTTTACATCAAAGGCATCGTCCGTCATGAATTTGTTACTTCTGGATAAACCGTCAACGCCTTTACGTGGAAGTCTAAAAGAGACTCGAAACGAAGGGTCAATTGGGACATTGCAGTCGATGGGAAGTTGCACTACAACGCCCCGGTTCACACCACTTTTCTTGTGAACAGCTACCTAAACAAGGCCGGCATCTCAACGCTTCCACAGCCCCCCTACAGCCCAGAAGTGGCCCCTCGCCCTGTTTTGTTTCCTAGCTTGAGAAGGCCGAGAAAGGCAAGCATTTTGAGACGACAGAGGAGATCCAAGCAGCATGCACTTCGGCTCTGAARGCTATTCCAGAGAAAGCCTTCCATTTCGCCTTCAATGSTTGGAAATCACGCTGGCAGCGGTGCAYMGACACAGAAGGAGCCTATTTTGAATGTTTTTAAAGAATTGTAATGATTGGTTCAATAAATTTTTTCAAATCGACTCAGTCCTATTACTTTCCGGACAAACCCTGTATTATACATACAAAAAGAAAAGTTACTTATGAGTACAATTTTTATTAAATTAAACATTTCTTTAGAAGCTTTTTAAATAAGATTTCTTTTATTATTATTAGTGTACGGTACTACAGAATTAACAACAGGTTTCTTAAGAGGGCTTTTTAAGTTACATATTTTCTCTCGTTCTTTTTTACACGCTCTCAATTTTATTTTGATTTTCAGCGAGTTTAAAATTCGTTTATTGCATCTTTTTGGTGTATCTAATCTTAGAAATTCTATTTTAAACAAATGCGATATAAATTTATTTATGAATTTAAATTTTTATGTTGTACATAATGACTAGTGTAAGGTAGTTAGTAAATATTAAAGATAAAAAAACTTAATTTGCTCCATAACTCTGGCGAAAGAGACGGAATCAAATTTGCAATATCGTTAAAAATATATTTTTCATTTTTTGATTAGGCGTACATTGTATTTAAGAGCGTATTATGTATATGCATGAAAATATTGCGCATCTTGTTCTCACAAATAAAATTCGAAAACTAAATCAACCCAACCGCTATTAAATCTACGTTCTACCAGGACGCTCGCATGCCTTAAYAGTAGCTTGGGCGACTATCAACAAACACATGCCATTTCGTTACCAAAAAAAATTATGTTACGCTGCTCACTAAAAGAAAAAAGTCCGCTCGCTGGCTWAGCCTTAAGCTGGTATACGATCACGCAAGTACGACATGATGGCATCGGTGCCCTTGGCAAGTATTTGATGGCGTGGCTGACGAAAGGGATTCCCGATCAGTTCCAGTGTACTGCGAATTATAAACAATGAAAATAGGCGTAATAGATTATGCGGCAGCTTGAAAGTGAGCTGGACTTACGCAATATGTGTTAGATTACCAAGTACGGGTGGCACTTGCTCAATGTTGTTGTTGCGCAGATCTAAAATAGTTAAACGCTTCAAGGCGCCCAATCCTTCTGGTGTCGCATCGATATGCTTGATACGATTGTCGCTGGCCAGTAAAATTTCCAGATTTTGCGTGTGATAAAGGCAGGTCGGTAAGTGGTCAAAGCTGAAAAGAATTAAAATGGAATGGTTATAAATTAAGGAAGAAGGTAGAGGAAATAATATAAGCAACTAAAAGAGTAACAGTGYAGTTATGTACAAAAAAACTTACCGATTATTGCAAATATTCAATTCTCGTAAAGTGTTCAGCACACCCATCTCCTTTGGCAGGTCGGTCAGTTGGTTGCATGACAAATTGAGTAAAGTAAGACGTGTGAATTGCGACAAAAATGTCGGCACTTTGGTTATTTGATTGTTGGAGAACACCAACTCACTGGCGCTGCCCTTAAGAAGATGAAGTCTAGTGGGGCAATAAGGGTGAAGAGAGCGATAAAGTTATTAATTACAATTCATCATAATAATTTTGACGTAGTAAATCGATAGTATAAGACATAGTCTACAATACGAAAAATTAAAACTTTTGTTTTAGATTTTAACATTGAACAACACCTCAGTGGTGTTTTTTTTTTTTTGAAGAGAGGTCGGGGCTGATTTTTGGTACTAACAGAATATTTTTAAATATGGTAGATAGAGCAGCTAAATGTTTAGATAGTTGAAAGAAACTGACTTTAAAATTGGTATATTTGTACCGTTAATGGTCAAGAATTTCAGTAAATAGAGTATAATTAATACAGAATAAATAGCGGTAAAAAAAATATTTAACTATAATTTACTAAAAAACTAAAAAAAGAAGATTAATTTGGCTTAGAATATCTGAATTTAAATAAAAAACAATATAAAAAAATAAAAGCTATTATTACAATACAATAAATAACTAAGTGGGAATGAAATATATAGATATTTTTGTGAACTGGTATAATAATAATATTTACAACTTCTTTGAATTATCTTACTAATTATGAAGAAATATTGTTAAAAAGTGAACAAAAAAATCGAGTACAACTTAAAAGCCACTTTTAAGCTCATACATGTGTAATTGAAAACGAAAACTGGTATAAAGAATATTAATTTAACTATAGTTAATATATGTATATATATATATGTACATATATGCGAGAAGAGTATTAGTATTATTAGTACAACGGCGCGTATTTAACGTTTCATAGAACAAAAAAAAAAAAAAATCTAGTATAAATGTGGCACAACCAAGAGATATGCAAATATGGATGAACATATAAATATAAATTAATTAAGTTTTGTATTGTYGAAAAAAACTGGCATATAGTTTGGTATAAACTGGTATAAACAATATTATAAATTATTTTWACTATAGTTCAAATGTGCAAAGAGATGAAATATTAGTACAATCGGTGCATATTGAGTGTTTTATAGAACATAAAAAACTGGTATAAATGTGGTCCAACTAAAAAACTATACAAATATAAATGTATATACAAATATATGTGTATTAATAAACTTGTATGCGTTTGAAAATAACTGGCTAAAAATTTTATATAAATGGTTAATTATTTAACTAACTAATTATTTAAGAAACTGGTATAAATAATATTATAGAATATTTTAACTGTAGTTCAAATATACAAAGAAAACAAATATTAATATAATCGGTGCACTGGTATAAAAGTGATAGAACTAATTATTGTTGCCTTTTTAGCATAATAGCATTTGAATAAAACCTTATCAATATAGTAATAACACTTAAATATTATTTAACATTTATATCGCTGGAAAAAACTGGCATAAAATTTGGCATAAAAACTTTTTTACGCAAATAGTGGTCAAAAATGTTAATCCAATGATTATAATCTCGCTTTAATTTTTATTACACAATTTTTACTAATTCTAATAGTATTTTTGAAATAATATTTTCCACAACTATTGTTTATACTTACGCATCTGGCAACTTTTCCAAACGATTCTTGGAGAAGTCCACGCAGCTGACATGCTCTTCAGCGGCCGTTTGGAACACTTCGTCAGGCACTGTGGACAAGTACTGCATGGTCACATTTAATGTATGCGTGTTTCTCATTTTATATCTGAAATTTCAAGCACGTTTCGATTACTAACTACACGTTTGGTAATTAGAAAATATTTTGCGAGTAAATACTGCAGCCGCCGTGGCCATGATTATTTTGATATGGTATTGGTTGTTGATAGATCGGATAATGCGGATCATAGGATGATATTAATGTACCGTAGCAGTTATTATAAGGGAAATATGGATTTACAAATTTGGATATATCCATTTTCATATACTCATAGCAATTGTAATTGTATGCAAATTGTTGCATTGAATGCATCGTTTGGGCTTGTTCTGCTGTTCCGCTTGGCTGATCCATATTCACATTCATATTCATATATGTATTGGAGTTATGTCTATATTAGAAAAGGAGGTTTTGTCCACACTCAATCACACACGCACAAAAAGAATTACACATACATATTTATGTACACACTATATATAATAAAAAAAAACAAAAGCAACAACAACCCAACACTAAKGATGAAAACACTCACTTATCGGGAAATGTTGTGTCTTCATCACAACCGCCAGCYGGACGACGTGGACTGTTCAAACCATCCGCACCCATTTTATCGCTATTATTTTGTACGAAAGTTGTCGACGACAATGTCGCAGAGTTTAGGGAAAGGCTATCGCCTTGATTATGGTGCTGTTGATTTTCGCCAGAAGCACGCGCACGTTCGCGCAATGTACGCAATATACGATTTGTACCGCACTGGAGTATGTCACGACGGATGGACTTGATGGGATTACCGTCGATTTGCAGGCTAACCAAATGCGCTAATGAGCCCAACGACAGGGGCAGACTGCTTATGGAATTATTGGTAAGATCGAGCCGAATGAGATTTTTCAGTAGCGAAATTTCGTCCGGAATTTTCGTAATTTTGTTATCGCGCAAATCGAGAAT